TGAAGCCTGGATGCGTTAGCAGAAAATGGTTTATGTGAAAAAAAACAACAATATTGTGACATGTGTTTTTGCGGACTTCAGGATGGCGTTGAGGCATCTCTCGAGGCAGCGGGAACACATCTAGAGCTGGGGAACCGTGGACTTCCAGCTCTGTCACGGAGGGGAGAAGGAGGGGCTGTCAGGCTGCCCGCTTCTTCTTCCTCGACTGCTGGCCGAAATTCTGGGTTGGCTGCGCCTGGGCTGCAGCCGGAACCGGAGATTTTCTAGGCCAACTCGACCTCGTCTCCTGCCCGGGCTGGGGACTTGGGACGGGCTGCGACCTCTGCTGTTTTGGTACTTTGAACCGAGCAGGGTTCGAGGCAGCTTGGGCGAAGGACTGCCGCTGTGAAGGCAGCGGCTGGACCCTTCGAGGGAGACAGAGGTGGAGGGCCTCGTCCTCCTTCTTTTTCGACTCGCATCTCCTCTGCATGGAGGCGAGAGCGGAGCCGAAAATCCCCTCGGGAACGATGGGCATGTCTAGCACATCCTCCTTTTCCCGGTCTGGGAGGTTGGTGAGGTTGAGCCATCTAGCTCTTTCCTGCACCACCATGATCCCCATTGCCTTGCCCGTGGCCTGGACGGCGCAGCGTTGAACACGGAGACAAATGTCTGTGATCGCGGCCATCTCGTCCAGAACGGCCGGTCCAGGATTGCTTGACAGATCCTCGCAGAGCTCCGCTTGGTATGCGGTTAGCAGCGAGGAAACGTTCAAAGCTCTGGCGGACAACGCTGCGGCTCTGTTGGACCGTTCAGTCATGGTCGACTGGAATCGGTCCGCCTTCGCTGGCAGCGTGGGGTTCCTGCTTGGTGACGGGACCAGCCTCAGTAGGAGGTGGGCTGCCACCAGCGGTCCCATAGGCGGTATGCGGAGCAGGCCGAGCCTCTCCATACCATCACAGTCTAGGGAGGAGGCACCCTGGATTGGGGCCTTGTTGCTAAAGGGCCGGTCTCTCCACGAGACCGACACCTCATCCAACATCTCCGGGAAGACCGGAAGGAGTTGCCTCTTTGTCCTCGTTGCTTGGGGAAAATGTTTCCCCTCGTAACGGGACCTGGAGGTCTCCTTGGCCATTTCGGGCCACGGGATGTCTAGTCTGGACGCGGCACGCTGACACACGGCCTGCAGGTCCATGCTCAGACAGGGCGAAGCTGGTGTGCTATCGCCCGGGAGAGCAGCCATCGCTCCCGGCTTTGCAGCCTGAGCCGATGACAGGAAGATATCGTCTTCTTGCTCATCCGAATCAGACAGGAGGAACTCAGAGGCACCCTCTTCGTCCTCCATATAATCCAATTCCAGGACATCCTCCGCGGGCGAAACCATGGTGAGGTCCAGCCGGGAGCCCCAGCTTGGTAAAGCATGGGGCTCCGTTCTCGCGTCTCTTGCCGCCACCGGGTCCCAGCCTGACACGGCGCGGGACTCCGATTCCGCAGCTGCCGCTGTTGATGAGCCCCAGACCGACACAGTGCGGGGCTCAATCTCTGCGGTGGACGCCCCCGCGTCTTGATTGCCAGCCGGCAAATCAGCGGACATGAGGGGGTCCTGTCCCGACAAGCTAGCTTGGCGTGCTAACCGTTGGCGGAGGCTCTTTACGGTGAAGCGGGCACAATGCCCGCACGAGCCGGGGTTGTCAATAGCCTCCTGGGCGTGTTCCAGCCCGAGGCAGGACGAGCAGACCTGGTGTGAGTCTGTGCCTGATATTTTCAACCCGCAGCCGCAGAGCCGAGCCTCCGAGTCCCTGACTCCTCTGGTGTGAGGGAGAGAGGCGTCCATCTTGTTTGCCACGTGGCGTGGAGAGGACCCGCTCGTAACAGGTACAGGTGTGTTGCTAGCTTGAAAAAATCAAAACCTTACCATCATTTCCGAGGAAAGAAACGGCGAGGTCGATTGTAATATTAACTGGTGTGTTAGCATTAACAGTCTTCTTGCGAAGCAGAAGAGTAGCCGGCGAGCAACCGAAAGTTAGCTTTGGGTTCAGTCTGTGGACTGTTAAGCTAGCCCGGCTACCATCGAGATGTGCTCTGAAGCGAGAAGAGGTGTTTGAATGACGCATGCGACGTAGCGCAAGCTACTTACAGGGGGTGGATTCCCTGACGCTGACGTCAAGATCACCAGCCAATCAGGATTGGCGTAATGAGATTGATGCTTCTGTTTGCTCCGCGATGAGGCGCATCCCATAGTGAGACATCGAACGGAGTGTTATGAATGAGAACTCATTCACAGAGCTGTTTTAAATCATTTTGTGTCAAGTTCAAGTGAGCTCTCAAGTCTTTAAAGGTTAAAATACAATTGTGAAAATTAATTACAACATTTTCTGTTTTTAAAGGTCCCATGTCATTTCTACTGATCATAAATCCATTGTTGAGGTCTACTAGAATAGATTTATATTCTGCAATTTTCCAAACTCACATTGGTTTCTCATACAGCATCTCTATATAGTATGTGTATTCACTCTCTGTCCTAAACGGCTTGTTGGAGCTCCTGTCTCCCCCCTCCCTGTGAGCCCACTGTGCTCTGATTGGTCAGCTCGCCCACTCTGTTCTGATGAGTCCACCACCGTTACAGCGGAACATCACTGATTATGTGTTACAATGGCATTTGTTAGCAACCAGAAAATGACACCAGTAATGACAAACAGATGAGAATGCTGCGTGGGGTCTGGGTGCTATGTTGGGGGGACGCTGCTCGGCTCGCTGCTGCGAGGAGCGGATAGTGTGAGCTGGTTTCATTTCCTGCTTGCTGCGTGGAATCTGCGAGACATCGCGAATGGACGCGGGAAGGGGGGGGTGCTGAGGGGGCTGCAGCACCCCCATCTGCGAGGCTCCACTAGCACCCGCACCCCCAAACGTGGCACACCGACAGTGTAAGCGCGCCACAGTTTTGCCGCTGCGAGGCTCCACTAGTACCCCCCCCCAGCACGTCACAATGGGTCCATTTGGGTATGGTCACGTCACTGTACCCAGGAAGAAAAAGAAAAAGAGAAATCTCCAACGAGGCGTTCTGGGGCAGCATAGACAGGTCTTTTCTGTGTTGAGTTTGACTCGCTACAGGGTGTACTTTGAGGGTTTGTGACTCTGCAGACCGTTTACATGCATAAAAACGATATGAAACCATTCATAACACACAAGGGGACGGGTAATAACCAGAAAAGCATGACATGGGACCATTAAGTCTATAAACAACATTTGCCTTTAAAATCATCGAACAGTAATTGAGACTTTTTTTATTCAATGTATTGATTCAATAATTACATATTCAAGGTGTGCTGCAATGCCATATTAATGTCCTGAACATTTCCTATTGCTCAATCATTTACCAGATCATAACATGAGCCTTGAATATTTGTCTTTTAAATCAAATCTCTAGACAGAGTAATACAGCATTGAAGTCCAAGTCTTTTTAATTGTGAAATCTAAATAAAGTCTTTGTGTGCAGTGTACAGCTCTATAATTCTATATAAAATAAATAAATAATGAGGGATAAAACATTGAGCAGAAAGGTTTCAGTGCAGCTCATACAGACATGTTAACATTGAGATGTTTTAATCACATGTTCCGTCATCTTTAAAGCCAGCGTACAGTGCTGAGCTGCATGTATGTGCGACATCAAAGTGGGTGGGCAGAGTGGGAACACAGCAGCGTGATGTGCCTGCAGGGTGAAGCAGCTTGTTTTAAAAAGTCAAAGAGTGCATGTCCTCTCTCAACCAAAGAAAGCACAACATCTCTCAAGCGGCAAACATGCTAATGGCCCAACATGCAGGTAATGGGCAGCATTAACAATACTGTTATAGACACTCATGTTAACATTATGCTAACAAATGCATGGGTTTCAAGCCCTATGGAGCAAAACTCAGCGAGTGGAAAAAACCCTGAAGCAGCTGGGAGCAGAATGATGACAAAATGGATTCAGCAGATTGCTGCAACATCACTCTGCTTTGCATACTTCCAATTTTCACAATTTCACCCAAAAGGGCATACCCACCCACACTACTACTTTAGTTGTGTTCATCAAATTAGGGCTTTTTAAATGTACACAATGTTCAAATGCTCAGTAGGTGGATATCAATTGTTCTTTCTCATTGTGAACAAAAAACCCAATTGTTTTGCTGTTGTATAACTCCTTTGTGTGTAGGTGTACTGAACTTCCTTATGTGTGTTTATTTATAAGCTTTTTTGCACGTTACTTAAAAATAATGATGTTTGATTCTGTTTTAAGGTGCCATTTTGACATGTGGGACAACGGAGCTCATTTAACTATTTCTCTTTCTTTGTTGTTTAATATGAAATGCCCCTGACAAATAAAATAAACTCAGCCTCTACCAGTTTGGATAACTTTTCTTGTAAGGAAATGGCTTCCAGATGTTGGGAATAATCAAAGGGTACGTTTATTCTGCTTGTTATGGTTGAAAGGAATATTTAGGAAGAAAAGGGCGAAAAGGGAACATACTCTCTCCAGTACAGTTTAGCTCTGAGTGTTCACGATGCTTGCTAATGTAAACAAAGACCATATTAAGCGTCTTTGGGTTCAAGAAAAGCGCTATAGAAATAACATTTATTATTATTATTATTATTACTTCCAAAACACGTCGCACATTGTTTCCGATAGTGACGTTTCTGATAGTGCCGTGGGTGTAAAGCCAGTCCACATTTCCAATATTACGTCCTAACCGACGCAAATCTGGATCGGCTCCGTTGTACCCCCGTTTTTAGAGATTTGGGTATGGAGGAAAAGAGAGAGGGTTTTGTTTTCTGACACTTTGTGAGTTCCCTGACACACCGGGGATACATATTCATGTATAAAAGACATCAAAAAGTGCATTTTGCATGATAGGAGACCTTTAAATTAAACTGATCATGTTATTATCTTGGCCTTCTACGTATGTCTTGCAGCATCATTGTCCATATGACAGTAATGATGTTTGTGTTTACAGTAACACACACAGTTTCTCGTACAAGGACGCTACCTTGCAGAGCCTCCTTGGCCCGGTCCAGCTCCTGCTCCTTCTGGGCCAGCTGCACGCGGAGCTCGGTGGCGGAGAGCACGTCGGCGGAGCAGCTCCCCTGGGTCTCCTCCAGGTCCTTACTCAACATGTCCTTCATCTGCCGCAGCAGGTGCACCTCCTCCTGGAGCTGGGCCACCTCCTCGCGCAGCAGGACTACAACACACACAGAAACAAAATGGAGCTTGAGCAAAAATCAAAACACTGCCCAAGATATTCTGATTAAAAGCAAGTGTGGCTTTTTGATTTGATTCTGACAGGCTTAACAGTTTTTAAGCCCAGAAAATGTAACTCCAGTAGCTAGGGAAAGGTCATACTAAAATTCAATCTCAGAGGTGTGTTTCCTTTTAAAAAGCTATGCCACTGCGGAGATGGTTATACGTGAAATGTAAAATCAATTTAACATCACCATAGGAGGTCATGGTTTTTATTTGAAATTGAAATAACTGCAGTGTCAAATTACTCTGGGTAATAAGCATCAAAGGGGTGGGTGGGGTCCAAGAGATGAGAAGAGACAAGCCATTGATGTTATAATGAAATTTATCTACAGTGATGCCTGTTGAACCTGTTGGAGGGAATTGTGAGAAAAGGAGAGAAGTGTGACCTTTAAATATTTAGTGATGTTAAAGAAGCAACACTAATATGAAAACAGCAGCAAAGAGAAACAGTTGTTTAATCATAATTTGACTCACTGGAAGTCCAGCGAGGACTTCACTTGCAGACAAATGTGCCACATTAAAGGGGCCCTATTTAGATTTTTGAGGTTTTCCTTTTACCTGTAGTGTGTTATATAGGTTTCCGTGGTCTGTAAAGGTTCAAATCCATAGTGTTTCTCTCATATACACTATACATGAACCTGAAAATGAGCAGAATAGGGCAAACATGTCTCTTTTTTTAAATGTGCTTGTCTTGGTGGGGCGTAATTTATATAAGGATAAGTTCAATCTTTCTGCACTATTTCATGGATCCTCAGGGCAGAGTGTTGGGGGGATGGAGAGAGGAAACCTGCTCAGCCCCATCTTGTATGGCTCCACTATCAAGTGCCTCGCATAAATCACACTTCATACTCACATAGCCAGCACCATATTACTGTCTGCAAAAATAAAATCAATCATAGATGAATGGGAGAACTGAGAAAAGGAGACTGAATATGCGAAAAATACTCCGCCTCCTTTGTAAAGTTGTGTTATTTTATATCTCAAAGAGGACAGTAAACTAAGAACATCTTTGTATAAACTGCAACCATTTCGTCTTACGTAGGTACAGCAGGCCATCTTTTTCACAAAATTGGAGGAGTTCTACTATTTTGTCCAGACAAATTGCAGTTAGAGAATACCTAACAATGCAATGCTCTCCATGATAACAACACTACAAACAAGGACTTAAAATATTTCACCTGAAGAGAACATTATGAGCTTCACAAAGACAGTATTTTCTGTGAACTCCCTGAATGTGTCACCGGTGACACATTTATTGTTGACTGTCACCTTTGTGAATGGCGCATTCATCTTTGATCCTGTGGTCCGGCCATGACACTAACAGTTCATTCTCCACTCCTCTTACAGCAGATGTGCTCCTCTCCAATCTTCCCCTCCAGCACCCACAGATGTGAAGGATATGTTACATCAGGACAGCAGAGGCGGTTCAACACCAAACTGTGACAACAAACTATAACGGAGGATATGTGGTGTATCTAGCCTTGCTCTGATGCATTTTTAGCACCACATGGATTACTTTAGCTCGCACCTTTGCTCCCCTGAAACTAAAACAAACCATTTCACTAGTTGTGCGACGTGCTTCCCAGGGCTCTGGAGTCCTTTAATGTGTGTTCACTGACTGAATGTAAGTGGTTGAGAATAAGAGCTGCCTGCTAAAAAAATGAAATGTAAAAGGGGTTATTAGGACAAGGGTCGAGAGAAAAACGTTGGCGGGTGGAGAGTCATTACACAGAAATATACCTAATGGAGCTGATAATAGAACCACATCTTACGGAGCAGCTCAAGCAGAAACAGCCTTATTGACAAGGCAAAGAGCTGGCCCCTGCTGTACAGTTCATTGGTGTTTAAAAATCCTATAACTCCATTTGATTACTTAGTCATTAAGTTTGCATGTATTGATTGTGCATAGTAGCACTGCAGGTAGTCATAAATAAATGACAAGGATCCGTTTCCTCTTTTATAGCCAACCCCTCAATACTGTTTAACAAAAATGGTTTGTATGACACACACTCCCTTATAGAATCAAGCAGCTTCTTTGGTGGCTGCATATGTTTGAAGAATTGCACCAGTACAAATGTTCGGATGTAAAAAATAGAGATATTGATTTTAAACCTACCACGGTAAGTTCTATTAGTCTCAACTTCCCCATCAAAATATGTTAGCCAGCTGTGCGTTTGATCAATGTAGGAGGATAGATAATGAACAGAAAATAATTACATAAAAATGTATTTCCGCTGCAACGTAGAAAGAGAACTTCTGTTGTTATTGCAATCTGCTAATCTCTAATTTTAGACTTCTTGCTGTTTACATTTATCACAGTGGCACATTGCACAACTTTAAATAATCATGTACTTTAAATGTGTGGTTTTAATGTCATTTGAAAAAAATGTGTATTCAAAGTGTTATACATCATAATCTTGTCTTTGCCTTATTGAATTACATGCCGTGCAAATAATCTTTTGATTGCATTAGTTTTTTAGACACAGGAGAGCATAAGAGCTTCAATAGATGTAATCAAATTGTTAAATTGTTACTAAGTGCAATGTGTACTTCATCTATTGACATAATAGCACCACATAAAAAAATCATGGATAACATAAGGGGTGAAAGATTATCAGCCCTTCTTGAATACTCAACAGTAAGCAGGCACAAAGTACGGCTAAGTATAGGGTAGATTTAGATTGTTTGCCCTAAAAGGGATACTAACACTGAATAAGACTACCTCGGTGGTATACAATGAAAACCTTTTGCCGGCTGTACACTCAACCGGCAAAAGGGCCCTCACCAGCTATGATAGGAAATGCAAGATGTCCTATCTCAGTAGTTATTAGTGTTAGAGTGTGTGAGGTGGAAACAGATATGTTATTGTCTTTTCCAGCTTTGAGCAGGTGAGCACTGTGCTGGAGCTCTCTAGATAAGACAGTCAGAGGGTGGGGGGAGGGTGGGAGTGAGGTAGAGGGGAGCCAGACAGCCACCTATTTTTCAATGTCCGCATCTCCTGAAGGTTGGCGAGAAGCATGCGCTATAAGCTCTGCATTACAAATGACAGTCAGTGTGGGAGCTTCCTGATAAGAGTAATCTCCCCCTCTCTCCCCTCCGGACTCCGTGCAGCTCATTCCCATGGAGGGTCCCTGCCAACGTTTGTGGGACCCTCACAAATCAGCACCTTTATGAAAATGCAAATAATCGAATTATCTTTGTTCATTTTTGTGTTTTTACATTTCTTTAGTTTTTTTGTTTTAATATCGTAAATTAACTGTTGAAAAGTGTAATAATTGTATTAAATACTGTGCACTTTTTAAAACAGCAGCAATCATGTGTTAATAATGTAATTCACACACACACTGATGGTGTCATACTGCCTGCATGGGGTTAAACTTGAGGTTTAGCATCTTGCTTAAGGACACATGTAGAGTCAGGAATCAAACCGTCAACATTGAGATTAAACGACGACCCGCTATTCCTCCTAAGTCACAGCCAGCTCTTGAAATGTAAAAAAGAATGTTACCCTGGAAGGAAAATAATATGAATCGTTTTTTGTATTTGTTATTCATTAAATCATTTCACCACAGAAACCACGTTTAAATGTTACACGCCTCAACCAAGGCTGCTGTTTTAGCTGCACTCCTCCTCAACTGTCAGCAAACAACCTTCTGGCTTTAATTATTTCTCTTCCCAAACAGAAAAAATAAAAGACAAATTCAAAAAAGAGACGTTTCTGTCAAGTGTGTAAGGCTGTGAGCACACAGTGAGTTTGTGTTTGAGTTTGCAGTGTGTGCTAGTGACTGTGTTGCCATCACTACCTCGGTACTCGTAGGGATGAGAGGATGTTTCAGGGTCGGATGTTTGCTGACTCTCTGCTGTTAGCTCGGCCTTCAGCACCACCTGTTCCCCCAGCATATTCTCTGCTCCTGACTGACAGCTACCTCACAAAGTATATAGTATAGTATATAGTTGAATATTTAAAAGTTATATATACAGCATTTAGGGAATTGATGTAGAAACGATTTGCTGTTTAAAGATTTAGTGGAGTAATGGCATTCTGAGTAGAGGATGAAGTGATGCAACCTGATGTTCTCTGTGCTTTGTTTACAGTCTGACCACAAATGGATGCTTGTGCATGTGAGTCCTATTAGTGGCTAGCTAATAGCCTCTGCTCTTTACCGCTGATAATGCCGTCCTGATCGGTGGGATTGTCGCAGAAACGTTAAACTCACCCTCTGGTTCCTCTTTATGTTGAGGCTATTTGTTCTCCATCATTACTGTTGCTGTTGTCTGCACTGTTTGCGCAGTTAGCAACGCTAGCCATCACCATGTTGAAAACAGTTTTGCAAAAAGTTGATCATATATCTATCTAGCAGTTATTTGACAATACTATCATTCATTTGGAGTTATTTCTGAGCATCTAACATATGCAGGCCAAATATTCACTCTCTTTGAGCTCTGTATGGGGTCTCTACCAACTCCAGAGGGAAATCCTTTGCTCTATAGCTGTTTAGCAGCTAGCCTCTAACTGTGTCATTTGGTGCTGAGCAGGAAGTGTGTAATGGATTGTTAGAGAATGTCCCCTCAGAACAGTTACCAAATGACAGCATAAGTACAATAAGTCAAAACATCAACTAACAGTAAAGGTTACTAAGGCATTAGCTAAAACCCAATATAAAGCTAAACTGTGAAGCCAAGGGTACTGCAGATTCAAGTGAAGTTTCCTTGCTACATGCTAAATGAAGCTATTCACAATTGTATTAATAACATACACAAGATAAAGAAACAATAGATACAGAGAATAAAAACACTCTTACATGTGTTGTACTGCAACTTTCACTTCAATAAAACTAGTGTCACAATACACTCAATACCCAGAAGTACACAACATCTTGAGTGGGGAGTCTCTTACGGGCTTAATGTGTTTCTCTGACAGAAGTCTTACGCCACAGG